AAGTGAAATGAAGTTTATAGGATTTACAGAAAGTGTGCAATAATTACTTAAACAAAAGTAGGCAGGTGCATAAATTTGGGCACCCCAACAGAAAAATTACATCAATATTTAGTAGATCCTCCTTTTGCAGAAATAACAGCCTCTAAACACTTCCTATAGCTTCCAATGAGGGTCTGGATTCTGGTTGAAGGTAGTTTTGGCCATTCTCCTTGACAAAACATCTCCAGTTCAGTCAGGTTTGATGGTTTCCGAGCATGGACAGCCCGCTTTAAATCACACCACAGATTTTCAATAATATTCAGGTATGGGGACTGAGATGGCCATTCCAGAATGTTGTACTTGTTCCTCTGCATGAATGCCTTAGTAGAATTTGAGCAGTGTTTAGGGTTGTTGTCTTGTTGAAGTATCCAGCCCCGGTGCAACTTCAACTTTGTCACTGATTCTTGAACATTGTTTGCAAGAATCTGCTGATACTGACTGGAATCCATGAGACCTTCAACTTTAACAAGATTGCCAGTAACTGCACTGGCCACACAGCCCCACGGCATGATGGAACCACCACCAAATTTTACTGTGGGTAGCAAGTGTTTGTCTTGGAATGCTGTGTTCTTCTTCCGCCATGCATACCGCCCCTTGTTATGTCCAAATAACTCAATTTTAGTTTCATCAGTCCACAGCACCTTATTCCAAAATGAAGCTGGCTTGTCCAAATGTGCTTTAGCATACCTCAAGCGACTCTGTTTGTGACATGTGCGCAGAAAAGGCTTCTGCCGCATTTCTCTCCCATACAGCATCTCCTTGTGCAAAGTGCGCTGAATAGTTGAATGATGCACAGTGACACCATCTGCAGCAACATCATGTTGTAGGTCTTTGGAGCTTCTCTGTGGGTTGAGTTTGACTGTTCTCACCATCCTTCGCCTCTGCTTATCTGAGACTTTTCTTGGCCTGCCACTCCAGGCCTTAACTAGAACTGTGCCTGTGGTCTTCCATTTCCTCACTATGTTCCTCACAGGGGAAACTGACAGTTGAAATCTCTGAGCTAGCTCTTTGTATCCTTCCCCAAAACCATGATGTTGAACAGTCTTTGTTTTCAGGTCATTTGACAGTTGTTTTGAGGCTCCCATGTTGCCACTCTTCAGAGAAGATGCAAAGAGGAGAACAACTTGCAACTGACCACCTTAAATACCCTTTCTCATGATTGGCTTCACCTGTGTATGTAGGTCAAGGGTCAATGAGCTTACCAAACAAATTTTGTGTTCCACTAATTAGTTCTAAAGGTATTCAAATCAATAAAACAACAAGGGTGCCCAAATTTATGCACCTGCCTACTTTTTTTGAAAAAAGTAATTATTGCACACGTTTTGTAAATCCTATAAATTTCATTTCACTTCTCAAATATCACTGTTTGTCTGCTATATGATATATTTAACTGAAATTGCTGATCTGAACAACCAATGATTTATAAAGGAAAATCTTGAAAATGATCAGAGGTGCCCAAACTTTTTCATAAGACTGTACCACGCTTACCAGACAATGTCAGATCCATTTAATTTCTACAGGGGAATGAAGCAGGGATGCACGCTTAGTCACTTGATGGTGCTGGAGCCCCTGGCAGAAACAATTCAGAAACACATAAATATACATTGTTAAAACACGGAACATACTTCAAACAAAATATCACTGTATGCAGACGTTAGTTTGATTTTTATAACAAAACCACAGTATTCTACACATACACTGCTAAGGACAATTAATTTATTCAGCTTTTTCTCAGAGTATGTGATAAACAGGAGTCCAGGAGTTTATCTGAATTTACAAGTCCATGGGTTAGGATCCATCATCTGTCTAAGCATAAAGTAAGTAGAAACCTGGCTCAATCAGACTTCTTCAGAATGAGTTGACTGCATACTATTCTTGTTGGGCACTATTACGTTTCCTATTCACCTTAAAAATCATAGCGTTGTTACATTCCTGTCATCCATAGTACTGTCGAAGTATGGAGGTCCGTAGCAAAGGAAGGTAAATACGATCCTTTACACAACCAATCCAATGGCAAATCCATCCTTAACAACTCATCTCAACTATGGAAGGAGCATTCAGTCAATTTTAAGAATTAGGGCTAGGTAATGTACCACAGCATTTTCTTTTTTCTAAAGAAGCAGTAAGATATGCAGCTTCACCTTCTCCTCTATGGACTTCTCTGTGCAAAGAAACTCATTGTTCTCCTATGGAAGATAAAGAGGTTCCAACCTTCAAAGCCTGGACAATTATATTTACTGACACCCTCCATCAGGAGACAATAAGTTATATCCTCAATGGCAGAAAGGAAATTGAGTGGACCTTGATATATCACTTGAAAGGGATGCAAAGTTGGTATGAACAGCATGAAGGCTGAATTGTAACAATTCTAGTTTGCACGATCAAAAAGGCTAAGGAGAGGAGTAGCGTGAATGCTCAAACTTAGTAGCTTACTAAAATTTTCAGCTTAGAGTCATGGAATTCAGCACTGATAAGCTAGACCGACAAACCTTGTATTTTTCCTGATTTCAGTTTGTCAAATTCAGGACAGGTAAGTTATTCTGAGCTCTGGCTAGATGCCATAGGATGTTGTGTTATCCAACTGGCCTTATTACTACCAAAATAGGCAGTGTGTGACAGATTAGAAATTAATTATTTCTTTTTAATTCCATTGCACCTTCAAAGCCATTGGCAGTCAGCATTGCATGGGGCATAGGATCCAACTGGATGTGGAAAGTTTTCTCTATTAATGGAAGACTGGAATTGACTCATAACAGTGACTCATACAGTTTTCAGCCAAGAGTGTCAGACCGACATCGCCAGTATAAACACCCTTAAGTTAAGGAAGAGAAATGGGCAGAAGCAGGTAAAATCAAACTCCTCCATCACCTTGTCATGCTAGAGGCAGTATATGTCTTGAGGAGCGGGCTTAGGAACCATTGAGTTTACTGAGAACATATCTACTTTCTTGCTTTTCTCCTCGTGAATGTCCTGGAGCAGATGTTTAATAGATCTATCCCATTGGTGACTGTTTTTAAATTTTTGTTGCTCATTTCCCCTATCTTCACTCGTCTTAAGATTCTCCCAATGGTTAGGAGGGCACATGGTTAAGCTAGGACAGAGAGTGTTTCTCCTCCTTGGTATGCAAATAGATTTTTTTTAAAAAGTGAATGGCTAAGCCACATGGTCTGCCACCTAACTTCTTCACAGTTTCCTTCATATTGACACAGAGCTGTACACAATAAGTGGGCTTTTTCTTTGCATTTGTATTGTCCTTGGTAGCATTTCTTGCAGGCACAACTTGAGAAGTCAAAGATGGACTGGCTTGCCTGTGTAAGAGTCACCAAAAATGGTCTCTAATCACAGGAGTCCAAACAATGTACTTGGTAATCATCATTTCCACACAATTTTGGAAGTAAGAGTAATAGTCTTCTTTAGCAATTTTGTGTGTGAGCAGTACTCATACTGTGTTTTCATCAGGAAATATATTTTCTACTGAGATCCAATTCTTTATACAGAATTGTCATAACTTCTGTACATTTCTTGGCATCTAACTACTCGTACATTCTTTGAGTTAAAGACTCCATCAAATACCAAAAGGTTGAGCTCTTCACGAATATTGCTGCTTGTATTCAATAGTTTTAAAAAACATATATATTTTTTTAAATAATTAAACTTCCAACAATTCACAAGACTTTGAAATATTAAGCTTGTTTCAGCTTTATAAGCCAACACTTTTTCTGAGTGCTGAGTACAATCCCACTGCCTCATTAACTGCAATACATAATATAAACTGAGACCAGCTGAGAACTGAGACAGAGACCTTGAAACTGAGATTTTTGGAGAAAAACTCTTAATTACCCCCCCTTTTTAAAACTTGCTCCATTTTCTACATATTTTGACATTAGAAATACAAATTAAACACCAAAGTGTTCAGTGTTCAGTTCAGTGTTCAAGTCTTGAATTGCTCATAGTGATAACATTTTGGTGATAAAAAATACAATTTTGTATTTCAGGGAGAATACTGTCCCATGGCAAGCTTAGTAATCTGGCCCCACTCAGCTGATGGACATGTAGTAGTAAGTCGCTTCTCTGCTCACTGTGCTTTTGCAACACACTTAATCTGTTTTAGAACAGTTTTACGTAGGAGTCATTCAACAGGTAATTGCACTTAGTGGGTTCCAGCTGGGCCTCAAGGTGGCTCGGTGGTTAGCACCATTGTCTTGCAGCAAGAAGGTCACTGGTTCGCCGGTGAGGACACCAGGATCTTTCTGCGTGGAGTTTGCATGTTCTCCCCTTGCAGTGTGGATTCTCTCCGGGTTCTCCGGCTTCCTCCCACAAAGTCCAAAAACATGTTAATTGGTGATTCTAAATTGTCTGTAGGTTTCAATGTGAGTGTGCTTGGTTGTCTGTCTCTAAGTGTAGCCCTGTGATAGACTGGTGACCTGTCCAGG